ATGTAAAGGCAGCCGATTGAAAGGGCTGCGATTGCAGTTAACACCTGGTTCACCTGGCTCAAGTCCATTTGTCTTACAGGTTTTTCTTGGCTCGTTATCTTTGAGGCAAATACATTTTTTAGGGCACAAGCTGGCTTAAAGCACTTAATTGGTTTTCGAATCAAGTAATTTCGAAAACGTAAAATTAAACACGAAAAAAACTTGTGAAAACTCAACTGAAACTAAACGTTTACATGTAGAAAATCAAAATATATTTCTAAAAATAGAAAAAATGTATACCTCTGATATCATTTTCATAGGTTGAGTTCTATTTGATGATAAAATAAATAAACGTATATAGTTTTAAATTTCCTTAACAATCTCATATGTGTATATATTTAAAAGTTGATTTAAAAGTCCTTGAACTTTGAAATTTGAATGATATGCCTAATCAGAAATTCCTTTTAAGTTTTTATTTACAAAAACTGTAAAGACGAGGTTTAGTATGCTTTGTATTTTATTTAGCAACTAAGATAGTTCAAGCTCCAGCAATCTCTAAGACTTTATATTTGTAGATAGTTTGCATCAGTTTCTTGGTAAGCTTTTCATTGAAATTAGCTATAATAAAAATCTTATATTTTAAATAAATCAGAAATATTATAAACCTTTAATTGGAATAACATGTAGTGAGTTTTATTTTCATTTCTCAGGCACCTAAGGGTGTATGCGAAAAACAGGGAAATTCGAAGCATTTTACACACAAAGTTCAAAGACTTTGCTGTGCACCTGTTACTTTCAATGCATTTTGTAATTATGGAGCATGTGTAAAAGTAGTTGTTTTGTTTGTTTTATTTTTCCAGTTACTTGCAAAAAGCCAGCTCAAAAGATACCAAGTACAGCTGACAATTACTTGAGCAATTTGTCAGTCCGTTAGCTTTGCTAACAACCGCAACTGCGCGCAAACGACCTTGACCAGAAACGCAATGAACCCTCGAGTGGTCGCCCATTAAAATGAGAAAGAAACCCAAAAACATGGGAACTACCGAAAACAAAACCGTTACAAGCCCAAGTAAACAAAAAAAAAAAAAAAAAAAAAAAAAAGACTTTTGTAAATGTCACAGAAAATGTCATAACTGTCAGCTTCGACTGGGCTTAGCCTCGTGCAGTGCCATTTTGTGGGATGAGCTGCCAACAATTGGAACGAAATGGAAATGGAATGTCAAATAACATGCCAAATCACGTCCAACGTATTTCAAACACAATAAATTGTTACACAAATCAACGAAAAATACGAATATGCAAATGCAATTCAAAGATGCCGAAGATATTCAAAAATAAAAAACATGATTAATCAACAGCTGCCTCCGATTTAACGCCTTTGTTGACAATGCGTTATAAAAAAACCAATCGAATCCATACAAAAAACTTAATAATAATTTATGTAAAGCTATATTTAACCATATAGAGAAATATGTTTACATATATATATAAGACAAGGTCAGGTCGCGTGACGCTTTCAAATACGTGAGGGACTCAAAAGCTAAATGCGATGCATGGAAATCAAATAATATATAGTCATAATATGTATTACTCCCATATAGCATGTAATTAATTCAAGGAAGTATGTATAATTGTGCTGTTGGATTTAAGACAATGGCGCTTATAAGCACTCGCAGCTGTCTATCAAAAACCAAACAAACAAACAAACACTTGGCGCCCCCATTGCAAACTTATGACATAAGCAGTTGTGGCACGTCCAACGGCAGCCTCCAATCACACACGCTGTCTCTTTTACTCTCACTCCCACTCTCACATTCGTTCTCTCTTTCTTTACGACTCGTTGCAAGCATATCGAACAACAATATGTGGTCAAGACATGCAAGCAATGCGAATGAAACTAAATCGAAAGTTGCATGCAACACACAACAACAACATACAACAAAAAGTAAGAGTGCTAAATTATAGACTGCACAACTTAGACATACCCTATAAGCAGCTGCGAGTAGCTGTACGTACTCTCATTCCCACTTTTACACAAACAATAGCACACCTAGACTAACTTTCCTTAAAATCAACTTGAAAAATGTCTTCTCAAATAACTCTTGTGTTAATTATTCGATCTGAATATAATTTTCCGGACATAAGTATGCCAATCAAATGTGTGCATATACCAAAAACCAAGATGATTTATGAAATGCGTGTTTTACATACATACATACATGGTAATAAGAAATATTTTTTATCTACAAAATATTTCCCATCTATATTTCTAAACAAGCTAAAATATACATACATTTAGTTCTATTAATATTGTATTTGATTAAAGTCCATAAATCGGGAAAAGATAAATCGATTTTTGGTAAAATGAGCGAATTTATCAAGAGAAACAAACGATAAACTGTCATTTATGATTATTAAGAACCAATACCTCTAGTTTTAAGCTCTTTAAATACATATATCCTTTACTCTTAATTTCCCCCTTTCCAATAAATATACAGGGTATCAATAGCAGAGCCGCTCGTAACAGCTGTGCCAGTCTCGCAGTCGCGCCGTCTCTCAGCCTTGTCTCACATCGTATGTGAGACCCATTGACATAATAACGAGGAAGGTAACCAAAGTAAGACTTTAACTTCGTCTGCGACATCCAACTGGGGCGTCAATTACAGCGACCCACAATGTGGAATTGAAACGAGTTGCCGCTGCCCCAAACATGTTGCCAGTGGGTTAGGTTATGGTTGCTGACCGCACACACACACACTCACACACACACACATCCGGGCATATGTGGCACAATGACACAACAAAACACAGCCAAATGACCGAGTGACATACTGTCTCACTGTCTCCCTCTCTCTCTCACTCTCTCCCTCTCTCTCTCTCTCTCTGTCTGTTGACAAATGCTTCCCCCTTTTTTGGCCAGCTGGCGCTAAGTTTACTTTTTTTTTGGGTACCACTTTGGTCTGGTCAAGTGAATGTACCTGTGAATGCGAAAGTAAAAGGACTGCAATCGGCAACAAAATTTCAATTGGAATTGGTCGTTTTGGCAAAATGACAGATGACAAGCTGCATTCGCGATGCATCAAGAGCCCAGGCAGAGCCCAAGGCGAACTGAAAATAAGGTGTTGTGAGAGAAGCGAATAATCAGATTTAAAAGCGAATTAAAGATCGATGATATAGTAAATTATTTAAGACTTGACACTTTATACATTAATACATGTGTTGAGATAAATTAGTCGGTTATATAAGTATATTCTATTTATAGATAGATAGGATCTTCGAATATTTACTGTATGTATCCATAGCTAACCATAATTCTCTATGATTAAAAGTAAAAGAAAACAAAGTTTATTTTCGTACCACTAGAAATTAGGAAGCAAAAAATTAAATATTTCGGCCTGTATATAATTCCAGAAGATTTGGTTAAAACTCCCTCCCTTTCCCTCTCGCTCTCCCCTTTCCCACTATCTCTCTCTCTCTCTCTCTCTCTCTCTCTCTCTCTCTCTCTCTCTCTCTCTCTGACTTTCCCTCTGTCTCTCTCTTTCTCTCTCTATTTCCCTCTCTCTCTTTTTCTCCTTAAAACTAACTAGGCTATTGCAATTCCTTTTCAATTTACATATGTATTTATATTTTGAATTTCTTAATAAGCAACATTTTATGCACCTTTTTATTTGTATATTTTATATTAATATCATCAATAATTTTAAATAAATTACTCACATCGATATCGATTTTTATCGATTGCTTGGAAACGGAGTAAGTTATGGATTATCGGAAATAAACTCGATCTGCGCGGGAACTAGGAGCACCTACATCTAAAAGTCTCTAGCTCTTATAGGTTCTGAGATCCTTGCGTTCATACATACGGACGGACGGACGGACGGACGGACAGACAGACGGACGGACGGACAGACAGACGGACATGGCTAGATCGACTCGGCTTTTGATGCTGATCAAGAATATATTTACTTTATGGGGTCGGAGATGCTTCCTTCTGCCTGTTACATACATTTGGATTTTGCACAAATACAATATACCCTTATACCCATTTTTAATGGGTTCAGGGTATACAAATATTAGAGAGAACAATAACAATACAAAATATATTTGAGATTTATAAAAGAAACTTCAAATTCTAATTAAATATTTGAATAGTCCTAGCCAACTTTTAAGCCATAAAAATCAAATTAGTTAAATCTTAAGCAATTATTAAAACTGAATTGGAAGAATTTGCAGCTTGAAGGCGACACAACTGGCGTATTTTGAACATTATTCAATTACACACACAAAATATGTGGTTTATTATTGTTGGTTGTGTGGTGCTTGTAAAAAGACTTGAGAAACCACCACAAAAATAGCAGCAGCAGCAACAACAACACACGGCAAATGTCGGTAGTTGGTATTAGCCCGCAAAACGGCACGCATCCATAGAGCTGCCTAACTGCCATAGCTCCTCCACCCGCTCTGCCAACGGAGGCACCTCTTGCGCATAGTCTCTGATTGCAATTGCTGCATTTTGGCTTCGCTTGCCACTTGGCTGCGCGTCGAGTTCGCGCCTCCGAAAAAAAGAAAGAAAAAATCAAACAAGCGGCAACCAGCTAAAACCGACGACGCGACTGGCCACGAACCATTCACCATTCGCTGCATGTGTTTTGGGCGATTGCGATTATGATTATACTATAGTATAATATAGTATTATTGTTGTTGCTGTTGCTGTGTTGTTGTAATACTTCGGGCTCGCAGTCGCCGTCGTCGTTTCATTCATTCGCTTGGCTTTTTGGGTGTTAGTTAGAGTATAAAAGTTCGGGCTGGCGCTGCAGTTGGCATCATTAAACCGTTAACCATCGAACAGTGTAGTGTGGTACGGAACGTGTGTAGAGTTTGTAGAGTGCGAGAGATCGATTCCCTCCTCAAAAGAGAAAAAGATATACTCAAATTTCAATACGAATCGATTGTGCGGCATTTAACGGTACACAGCTCGACGGATAACTTACAATCCCACAAGGATATTTTACGCCAGCAACATGAAGTTGATGGTATGTATCCAGGATCAACAAGTGCAGTGTTGTGAAGTGAGCCAAAGAACCCATAAGATTAACTGAGATTTACAAAAGTGCAGGATGCTCAAACAATTAATACGCTCAAAGAAAATATCACACTTTTGAGATTTCCTAAAATGAAAACGAAATGCTTAATTCAGAAATTTTTATGAATACGAGAAATGCACGACACAAATACAGTACTCCATCTGAGAAACATACTTTGTTTACATGAACTTGTTTCAAGAATGTAAACATCATTTTCAATTTAATCCCAGAATTCTTTTCTTATTTCCGTTCAATTTTCAAATCTGGAATGATAACTTAACTAAAAACTTTTCAAAAACAATTAATTGAGCTTTTAATCGAGCTTAAAGCGTCTTAAATTCTAGTCAAACTCCTTCATTATGCCTCATTATCCAACACATTGCTCCACATTTTTAGCGTACAGCGACAACGCTCGCTCTGGTGCTGCTGCTGGCCACCAGCTATGCCCAGGCTGGCGAGGAGAAGAACGAGGCTGCTGAGAAGACAGCAGCTGAGCCGACGGAGTCAAAGGCCGAGGAGACGGCCGCTGATGATGATACCGCAAAACCGAAACGTGGTCTACACCACTACGAGGATTATCATCATCATCATGTGCCACACTTCCCAGTACATGAGGAGAAAACACTGACGGTCATCAAGAAGGTGCCAGTGCCTGTGCCAATCGAAAAGATCGTCCATGTACCCGTGGAAAAGCATGTGCATGTGCCCGTGAAAGTCAAGGTGCCTAAGCCATATCCCGTGGTCAAGCATGTGCCCTATGAGGTTAAGGAGATTGTCAAGGTGCCCTATGAAGTGCCAGCGCCATATCCCGTCGAAAAGAAGATACCATATGCCGTACATGTGCCCTATGATCGCCCCGTGCCCGTCAAGGTATAGCAGGCAACAGCTGCTCAGGATTTACATAGACCATTTTAACACACACTTTCAATCCTCTAGGTACATGTGCCCGCACCCTATCCGGTTGAGAAGAAGGTTCATGTGCCAGTCAAAGTACATGTGCCAGCACCCTATCCAGTCGAGAAAATCGTCCACTACAATGTAGAGAAGAAGGTGCATGTCGACAAGCCCTATCCGGTCGAGAAGATTGTCCATTACCCAGTCAAGGTGCCCGTCGATAAGCCAGTGCCCTACCATGTGGACAAGCCAGTGCCCCACTATGTGGACAAACCTGTGCCAGTGCCCGTTATCAAGAAGGTGCCTGTGCCCGTGCATGTGCCCTATGATCGTCCCGTGCCCGTGCATGTCGAGAAACCAGTGCCCTATGAGGTGAAAGTACATGTGCCACAGCCCTATCCAGTGATCAAGGAAGTGCCCTATAAGGTTGAGAAACACGTTCCGTACCCCGTCAAGATTCCGGTGGAGAAGCCCGTGCATGTGCACATTGAGAAGCATGTGCCCGAGGTTCATGAGAAGCACATTACCTACAAGGAGCCAGAGTTTGTGCACAAGCACATCGAGGAGGACCACCATTATCATCATCAGGAACAACATCATGAACCTATCCATCATCATTCATCATATTCGGCACCCATTGAGGAGCATCATGAGCATGAGCATGAGGTGGAGCATGATTTTAATGACTATCATGATTATCATTCATATCACGGTTACTAAAATTGGTGAAATGAACTTTTTCTCTCTCTCTCTTTCTCTTTCACTCTTTCTTTGCAGCATTGAAAAATCGGTTATGAACGGCAACGGTTATGAATGGATATATAGCTAAACTGAAAGAAAAAAAAACAAAAACAAAGTAAAACTAATTTTAACATCACAAAAACCATAGAAAACTTTTAAAAACCTTCCATATTTTCCATATCATACCCATATGCCCAACATTCCAATTACACTTTGCTATATAGAACGTGATAACGATAGAGATTCTGAAAACAATTTTATAATGTGACCAAAATGTGACACGAAACGAACTTACTTAGTTTTTACGACGAACTCTCTTTTAGCTTAAGCCATACAAAAAAAAAAAAAAAATCAATGCAAAAAAAAAAAAAAACAAAACAAGAAAAGAAACGTTGACGAAAATATCCCGTGAGAATTGTTATGAGAAATTTGAAGACGATTAGATCTAGACTTTAAGAACAAGATACTAACACATTTGGGCCGCACAGCCCACAGAACAACAAGATCAAGAACAAGACCCATAACAACAACAAAGACAAGAACAACACACACAACATATGACACCTCAGCAGGATCAAATTTGGATGTGTTGTTGGACTTGGCTCGCTAAACACTGGGTACATTTGACGTGTGGTTGCTGCTGCTGTATTGTCCTCCAGCTGCGGCTTCTCCTCCTTCTGCTCTGGTCCACCGATTTGTGCACCCGGTTCGGTTCGGTTCGATATGATATGAGATCTGATCTGTGTGTGTGATAAAGACTTCTGCTTTAGAGTTTAAGTGTTTACTCTACATATATATATATATATATATATATATATATATATATATATATTAATAATATAAATACATATAGATAAGGGAGGCAGCCGTGCAGTCGCCTATTTAAGTCAGTTTGTAAACGAACGTATTGTATTATTTGTAATATTTTTTGCTATCTAGTTTTTAATACAACCAACTATCTATAGTTTTGCCTAATGTAATAAGCTGTTGAAACGGATTTATGAAAAGTACTTAGTTTACCAAATATTTTTTTGTCTCTGTAACATCAACAACAACAACAAAACACTCTGATAATGAAGCTGATGAATGTAAACAATAAAAACGAGTAGAACGAAGTGATCAAAACTAAAATCAAAGCATTTCATTTATTTTACAACTTATATATTTAAAAACCAAATTTTCTTTTACAGTCCTTTGTAAAAGACTTCTAACAAAATATCAAAGCATATTTTTTATAAATCCACATCTTTCCAACTTCTAAATAATCTTTTTGGCAATCAGTTAAACTATAATACGACCTCTACCCAAACTAATTTATCCTTTAACTATCAATTAAGAGTTGGAATGTTACGAGGCGCCCGATGAATTTTTAATAAATTTCAAATATTTAAACACTGAAAAAGATTTTTAATAAAACGATGCAAATTAAAAAGCGTTAAAATAATTAATTTGAATTGAAACTACTTTTTAAACATTATTTGTTTATTTTAAATATTCTTCAAATCTTTTTTGAACATAAAATATATATATTTCAACTATTTTTCAAGCATAATATATATATATTTCAAAATTTTGTCCTGTTTTAAAAATTTTATAAAATACTACACAAAAGTTATTTTCTATGAAATTCCGAGTTCCAATCTCAGTTGAAAATGTAGCTTTTTTACTATATCCTTTGCTAAAATTTAATGGGAACTATTTTTCAATAAATATATATTTAAAAATTTGGTCATGTGTATTTTATCTGCTCTTCCATACTTTTCCAAATATTTTAATAAATTACTACAGAACATTTTTTTTCTATGAAATTCCGAGTTCGAATTTCAGTTGTGTTGAAAATTTAGCTTTTTACTATATCTTATTTAATATTGGATGTTTTCTTGTAATACCCAAAATAAGCCTTCTCAGTCCCATTTGAACCTTACTTTAGTTAACCCCAAAGGATTTAAGTTTCCCACAACGTTTTGTCGACATCTGCAAGTGAAAAGTGCAACATAATGCCTGCACTGGAAACAAGTCATTTTGCATTACACATAAACGGCTTATCCAATTTTCAAATGAGATAAACATTGCCTGGCATTCATAATTGCATATTCAAAGTGTCTTGCGTCCACTGGAAGGGAGATAAGAGGCAGGCAACATGTTTATTACATTTGCCACACTATGTTTTTATCATTACGCTTTTCATGCCACAACAACAACGACAACAACGACAACAACAACAGCAACAACAACGACAAGTTGCTGACGGCACTCGCGTCCATTTCCTAGCGTTTATTTTGCGGCCTGGCATTACTTTTTATTAGCAGCGCCGGTTTGTGGTTTGTGTGGTTGTCAGTTGTTATACCCTGTACTATGTACTAAGTGGGTATATACAAATTTACAATTTTCAATCAAATATCGAACGTGGTGAATTCTTTAATATTCAACCAGCTGCATATTTAGACAAATAAAAAGTAATATAAATTCTAAGAAATTAAGAATTAATTAAGAAATGCGAGCAAACATGCTCGCAAATTAATCAAACTCGAAAGTGAATTTATAAAGGAAAGTTTTGAAATTTTGGTCTTCCACATCTAATTCGGAAAAACAAAAGGTAGGAATGTAAAATTGATCCCAAGAATGGATAGAAGTTAAATGCAAAATTACGCCAAATATGTTTGTATGTATTCCAATACAAATCGTACACGAATACACTTAACCAGAGGGTATATTAATTTTACAGAGTATTCGTTTGTCTCACATTTTAATTGGAATCCCCCCCAAACTTTTGGCCGACTTCGGCTCGACTGTGTTGGCGGGTTGTGTATGAAGATTAGGTTTCAATTTGCATTTCGGCTTCATTGAAGCCATGCTGCAATTTCAGTCAGCTAAGTGGGGCATAGATTTATCACGTTTTCCTTAGTCGGTTTGTAGGACATGTGCTCCTAACCGATATTTGAGACAAAATCACATGCAAAACGTGTTGTGAAACGAAATGAAAACTGTTCAAAGATCGGAGACTTTAGCTGCGACTGCGGCTGCGGCTGCGCCTGTGTGCCTTTGCCTGTGCCTGTGCCTGACTCTCGACTTTGGCACTGTTTTATTACCATATTGAGGCTAACTCTTTTGGTGGTTTGTTGATTTCTGGTAGCGTTTGTTTATGTAACTGTAACTCTAACTGTAGCATTTGCAGTTTATGGATTATGCAATAAATAATCAACATACAATAGCCAGAGCTGCTGCTGCTGCTGCTGCTGCTGCTGCTGAGGTTGTGTTGTAATCTATCCTCAGTAGAATGGCCAGCCATAAAATCTGGCTAATGGGTTTTTTTTAGTAATCTCTGGGCGGGCTCAAATGAAAGTGGAAATCTATTAAAGATCTAAAAATGTGGCTGTCAGTTGGCTTTTAAACACAGTTTGGGTTGATTAATTGGCCAGAAAGTAGTCGCATTTATTTTTAGATGCTAATGTTTTGTCAAAATGAAAAGAAAATAATAAAGCGGCTCATATGGAAAACAGGGCATACTAAAAAAACGTCAAGACGTTCTCTGATTTGAATTTTTGATTAACTAAGATTAGATTTATGGAAAAAATAATTTGAATACCAACAGGAAATAAACACAAAAAGTGAAAAGGTTCCTCGAAATATATATTCAAAGATCCTCTAGATTCTAGCAGTAGACTTTAGTGCCGACCTTAGCTTGGAAAGCCCTTATCTTTATTTCGAAGCTTTAACACATTGGGAATTATATGCAACAGACAAACTACAAAGCCAGCGCAACTAAAACAAGTCACTAAAAACATTTTGTGACAAAATAATCACTTGCTAAAATGTTTTGATTAATTATTACATCATTTGATAATCAGATATTACAACATGCTTAAATTCGAAGCCCAGGCCCACGTTTTCTAGTGCACTATGGACTTGCTCTGTTAGACAACTCGTTCAACATTATACAAATATTTCTCAATAGCTTGCACTACACCTTGAAAGAACCTCAAATAATGCCAAAAGAAACCGCCAACCATGTTGGTTAGCCAATAAGAGACTTATGCAACATGACACCACTGTGGTTGTCATAATACTCAACGCCTTGTCTTACATTTTAATAGGCGTCCAATAAAAGACCAAAAGACAACAAGCGAAAACAAAATAAATCATTAAAAAAAAACATTGCCCCAGCATGGTCAGCTCAAATGGGTGTAGTCATTGACACCGCCATTTTCTCGGGTGTTTGTGGTGGCGGGGCCCCGCTATTGCACCACGCGGCGTATGGCTTTTGTGGCACAGAAATTTGCATTTGCATGCGCAGGAAAAATGAGCTTACTTTCTGTGGCTTAATAGGTCAGTTAGCCCGTCAGCCAGCGGGCCTGAGTATACCATGCATTTAATGTGATATGTGGTTTATTTTTTGTCGTAACAATTTCTATTTGTGGCTTATTTAAATGATGTCAGAGCCGACGCGAAGACAGAGTCGCTTTTGGCAGCAGCCATGTGGAAAGTGAATGCGGGAAATATTCGTCGACATGCGAGTTTTTCTTACTTTCCCATCCCCCCCAATCCAGCCAATAAAATGTGTGTGCAAATGTGTGTTTGTGGCCGTTCCGTCTACTGGATTGGTCATTATAAGCCAGTCAGTGGGCCAACTTGTGGCCTGTTGCCGGTTTACGGGTTGCGGATTGCGGGCTGCAACGTCTTGGCGATCCGAATATTGCGACGCGTAATCGACGCCAATTTGACGGAAAATATTCGAAACGTTGAGCCAGTGCAAATGTGTGTGCTTGTTTGTGTGTGTGTGTGTGTGTAAATTGTAATCGAAAATAGCAAAATTAATAACAAGCTTTTGTTTGCTTGAGTTTTAATTGCTGCATTTGCGTTATGTGGCACATTAGATAAGAGAAACATTTTGTGAGGTAATGCAACATGTAATCAATATGTCTCAATTGAGGGAAAGAGGGGATAAAGGCATGTGCGTATGAGATTTGTCGTTTAGTTTAGCTTTTCCGGATGCCATTTGAAGAAATGCAAGACACGAGATTCAATGAAAATGAGAGAATGCATTTGAATAAAGCAAATAAAAGAAGAATAACCATTAATACTGGA